CAAAGACGTTGTTTTTTTTTAATCAACATCTTATTTGGTTATTTTTAAAAATAATTTTTACAGGACGTATATTTTCCTGCGTGGTTTTATTATGCTAGATTTCTTAGTGTTTGGTAAATAAACGTGTTATTATTGTAATAAGGGTGTTCAGAGTATCGCATACCTCATCGATTTTATAGCTGTACAAAGTTGTGTTTTGTAGTGATAACCGTTGTTCATATCATTGTACTTTATCAATCCTGATGATTAATTTATTACAATTTGTCAAACAAAAATGAGATGAAGAATAAAAGAATAAAAATACAGGGTCAGGGACGAGAGGCGTGTTAGAGGCACTTAAACACGCCCCCCCTCTACTAACCACTTAAGTATGATGTAAGGTCCACGGAAGTCCATTATTGTATTTGTTATCTTTTATTCCCCTTTTTATTATTTTCTGTTGTTGGCCGTCGACCAAATAAATAAAATCCTTCCTCGTGCGACGTCCATGTTTTGTTTTGTTTTAAAGTGGGGAGATTTTTAAAACTCGAGCTATTTAAGGATTAAAATTAATCCTTGCAGACTCATTTTGCAAACACGTGATTAGATCCCCTTAACTGCATCAACCGTCCTGGGCAATCTCGAACCCAAAAAAGCTTTGGGCCACATCTGTGTACACATCTGGAAGAGTTTTGGCTGGCTGCAACATCAGACACACCTTGTTCCTTTCTTGCACCCCTTAAGTAGGCTAAATTTTTGCACAAAAGGGTCAGGAATTTAAACAAACAAACAAAAAACATTGCTTCTCTCTCATTTTGGGGGGTGGAGGGCATCAATTCAAGAAAACCTCCCCTTGCTAAACCATTTTACGGTGGAAACCTCAATTTTAATCTGTGTTTGTGTTTGGAAGCTTAGAGGAGGAAACATGGATGGCTCCAGATTGTCAAACGGTGGGAGTGTTCCCATATGTTAGATGTCACACACTCGATATGGAGAACACACCCAGCCCAATTCACACACCCATCCCCCCTTCGTCCAGCCCACTCCTCACCAAGCCTCACCCTGATCCTTCCCCGCCCCCTTTGCAAAGCTTCGATATTAATTGCCCATCTGCCACGTTGCCACAAGCTGTTTTTGCTCTCATGTATTTTATATATACCTGCTCCGTCTTCCTGGTTCCTAGCTGAGCCTTCAATCTAACCCTCCCGTATTTAGGAAGCAGGTGTGATCTCATTACTCTGCCCCCTCCCAACCCAATCCAGGCTCAAGTCCTCTCCACCCAATCTGCCACTTCCCACCCACCCCTTTCCCGGATCCTAATTTCCCCCGCACCCCTGTCTTTTTTACAAACTCCCTTGCTTTGCAAATTTACGTTCTTACTAGCTGGATACCCGTGCTTCGCGACGAAACTATGCGATCGGGCAATGCACCGAACACGTAACGCATAAGGGACTATCGCTCCCCCCACCCCGCCTTGAGTCCGGAAGCAATTCCGTAGGTGGTAAGGCGTAGACATTTTGGCGAGGTACCGGCGTTTAGTACTGTGAGGAATCCCGGACCGCTCCTGAGTGAAGAGGAGTGGAACGTCTGCCAGTTTGAACTGAGGTAACNGGACACGACTTTGCAACTAACAACACCTCCCTCCCACAATGCCAAAGCAAAACCCGCGTGAAATAGCAAAGAAATATACGGTAAAAATACATCATTTCTACTCTAGTTGTAAAGCTTTGCAGACCCAGTTCTACATTTTCTTCCCAGCTTGGCTTGGAACGGCGCGGAGACAGCACGATGGGGAAGGAAGGACCTAAGCGTAGCCCTCCTCAACTTAAAACACAACCGTGCCCAAAAATGTGTGTGGTTAAGGGGGACACATTTCTTAGGTGAGTTTGGCTCCATTTTTACAACCTTTCCGGCCACAGTTCTTGAGTGAAACCTTGGGATTGTTAAAAGTTGGGAACCGAAGCTGGATTCCCCCTTGACTCGGCTCCTCAGAAGGTGGCAGAAAAAAGGAATCACGTGACACTGGAACCGTCATAAATATGAGTCAGCTGCCGAGCGTCTGGATTTTGACCATGTGACCGTCACGAAGGTTGCAACGGTCGTAAGGGTGAAGAATGGTCATAAATCACTTCTTTTCCCCAGTGCCGTTGCAACAACTGTGGCAAGAGACTCTCGGTCTTTCGAAAGTCTACTGGCGATTCCGGCCGGCCTGGGGCTGTTGACCCCATGAATGAGGTCTATCCCACTACGATTGAGTGCATGATGTGTCTTTTTAACCTCCTTTCCCTCTCCATTTTAATTTTTTTTTTAGTATCCTTTCCCTCCTTTTTTCTTTCTTTCTCTTTCTTTCTCCTTCCCTCCTTCCTTCCTTTTTCTTTCTTTTCCTTCCTTTTTTCTTTCTGTTCCTTCCTTTCCCTTTTTTCTTTCTTTCTCTTTCTTTCTCCTTCCCTCCTTCCTTTCTTTTTCTTTCTTTTCCTTTCTTTTTTATTTCTGTTCCTTCCTTGTTTTTATGTAAGCCGCCCGGAGTCCTTCGGGATTGGCCGGCATATAAATTCATTAAACTTTGAACTTAGGTTGTAAAACGAGGCAAAACTTAACAAATGTCTCCCTTAGCCACGGAAATCTTGGCCTCAATTAATGTCCACCGGCAAAGACGTTGTTTTTTTTTAATCAACATCGTATTTGGTTATTTTTAAAACTAATTTTTACAGGACGTATATTTTCCTGCGCGGTTT